AATCCCAAGAGTGCGTCAAAACAAGGTTTTTTAAATGCTTTAGAAAGTTTGAGAAGTCAACATAACCAGTTTAACTATTACCCTATGTTTTTGTCACTAAGAACACTTCTGAATATAGGGAGGACACAAATAAAACAGCAAAATCACCTCAAATCTAAGATGAACTCTTACATCATTATCGGGAAACAAGGGCACTGACGGCCACGCTGACTTGCCCTGGGTTCCAGCATGTGCCTGGCCTTGCTGCCGTTCTAAGCACGCTCCTGGCCGCTGCCCCTCTGGGACCTGGCCTGTGTCACCCTTCGCTGGAGAGAGGAGGGGTGGGGAACTTAAGGCATTTTAAAATGAGTACGGTGCATTTTGTTTTAACCCACGAGGCAAGTTTTTTGAATGAAAACTATAGAAGCATGAGTAATGGAAGCATTCTCCGTTACTATAACTATGCTTGAATCACAGAAACATTGAAGAGATTGCAATGTGGTTTTAATGGCCTCAGAGATCCATTTTAACAGAAGAAACCACCTATAATCCAGAAAAAATAAAAGTGACACTGAGATATTTCCCAAGATAGGAAGGAAGTTTAAGAGAATTTCATCTTTTCATAACAGGGTCCTTTTGAAAGCTTTTCATAGTTTCAAATTCAGTTCACACTGGCCCTAAAAGAAATGGCCCCCTTTTGTGAGTCCTGGGTCTGAGATAAAACTAGGCAGTATCCATCTCTGCAGCAGCCTCTAACTTAAGCAACCCCATTTCCTTTAAGTGCTTATGTCAAAATTACACAGGAAAAAGAGAAAAAAGCCATTGGGCAAGTATACTGTTCGCTTCCAACCGTCTTTCCCGCCCCCACGCTCCGGAGCTGAATTCCTCAGGCCCTGGGAGACAGCTTACCTGAAGTCCTTCAGCTCCTGCTTGCCACTGCTGTCCTCCCTTCTGCTTTCGCCCAGGTCGGCAGCAGCTGCCAGCTGGAGGCTTCGGGTGATGGGCCCGCCACTCCGTTCTCTAGATTTTACATTGAACCGGTCTGTTCTTTTCTTACCGGTCAGAGCGGATTTGCTTTGTAAGACGGCCTTGCTTTTCTGTACCCTCACGTGCAGGCTCCGGGCCGTCTTGCTCGAGAGCTGAGCAGAATGATTCTTGGCCACAGCTTTGGGCTTTTTCCCCTCAACATGAGTTATTTTGGCCATTCTGATTGGACTCGAGTTCCTTAAAGAGGAGGTTGGTTTCTTGGACTTCCCCGGAGCTGCAAATTTGACATTCTGCTTGGACCTGAAGGACGAGGAGGGCAGTGAGACCTGTGCGGGGCCTGAGCTGCGAGCTCTAGTCTTGCCCAAAGGAGCCTGCGTGTTTTGCATTTTAATCTCGGCATCTGCGGTCCGTCTGCGGTGGTTGCTGCTGCTTCTGTCACTACTTGCAGGTGACACATGCCCACCTTTCTTGGACGAATGGGAAACTTTTTTTTTGGGAGGAGAAAGCGGTTTTTTGGGACAGCTGAAAGCAGCATGCTTATTCAGGCTTCCTATGTACGTGAACTCCCGATGGCAATACGGACAGATGTGTGAGGAGGACTCCGAAGCATTTTTTAAGTCCGCCTTCTGCTTGGCAGATTTGTTTTTTTGCAGGATTGCTTTCTGAACAAGCTGGTTTTTTTTCTTCAATGCATTTAATTTGAGCTTATTTGGTGACATTTTGCTGAGTTCGACACTAAAGTTCAGTCTTTTGGGTTGTCCCATTCGTCTAAAGGCATTTTTCCCAGAGTTCTCCAAAACCACCACGCCGTTTTTGGGTTGCACCGTTTGTTTCAGCGGTACTGGGTTTTTCCTAGGGGTGTACCTCTTCTTGTCGCTGGCAGAAGCGCAGGCCAGGATGTGCTTGTGTAGCTCGGGCATGTTGTCCACACCCTTGCCGCACTTGGTGCAGCGAATGGCAGTGCTAAACGTCTGTGGAATGTTGTGTGTAGTGAAGTTGGTGGCCGTCACACCGATACCCATGGGGTTTCGGTGATGGTACTGAAATGGAGGCGGTTTAAAGCTTGGGTAATGTTGATTGAGACCCAATCGAACATCTGGATCTTTTGTCTTTAGCCCAGAAGCCATTATTTTTATGGTCGTGTAAAGCTCTTCGGAAGAATCATTTAACTCCTCTTCCTCTTTTGACGTTTCTGAAGGATCTTCCGGCAAACTCTGCATATGTTCTGCGTGGGCCTTGCTGGGATCTGTAAAGTTCTGCGGCCTCAGGGTGCCACTCTCAAACTCGTGGTGTGTGCACACCTTATCCGGGTGCAGATCTCGCTGGTGCTGCTGCAAATTGCACAAAAAAGCAAATTCTTTTTTACAAACTGAACACACAAAGATATTCCCAACTCCATGAAGCAAAAAGCGATGTTCTGACAAGTCAGTTTTAGCCTTAAAAAGCTGCACACAAAATTCACATTTGAAGGGCCATTCTTCAGCATGAACAGATAAATGTTTGGTTAGATCTTTAATGGAAAGAAAAGGTGATTCACACACATTGCAGACAAAGTTTTTGTTGAATGTTTCCTGAACAATATCCTGTTCAACTGCAGACGGGGGTTCTTCCCTGGGTTTCAGATCTTCATTCTCTAATTCCTCCTGTTTGAAAGATATCATGGGGAGGGAGGCTTCCAGATTATCCCCAGAAGAAACAACGGATGATACTGCTGACAGAGGAGGTGGTGAGGGGGAAGAGGAGGAAGATGAAGAGAATGAAGATGAAGATGCAGAAGATGATGAGAGTGTTGGAGGCCCCGGAGAGGCAGCAGACATGAGAGGCTCTACGGAAGGAATGGGAGAAGGCGAGGGAGACACCGTAGGAGAAAGAATCGGAAGTGGGGACTGTGCAGTCGCATTTGAGAGTGGAGAGGGACACGGGAGAGGAGATGCCCCGGAAGAGGGGGCTGGAAGAGGTATGGTAGGCAGGAGTGGAGGAGGTGGTGTGGCCACAGTTAGCACAGGAGGACAGGGCGGAGGGGATGAGGGATGTGTTGGCATCAAGAGAGGAGGCAGCTGCCCGGAGGAAAGAGAGGGTGCCTGGCAGGCAGGAGATGAAGGAGAAACATCAGGTGGGTGCTCCACAGGAGGGGCAGACAAACTCGTGTCAGGCCCAAGGTCAGGATCTGCCTGGGGATCCAGGGATTTACAAGGACTCGGGCTCCTGGTGACATCTGCCGTGTTTTCGATGGGCACGCCGATGCCATTGTACTCATTGAGAAGGACCTTCTGCAGCATGCAGGTGGTCGGCTTCTTCTTCTTGCCAGCACCGCAGGTTGGCTGCGCCACGCTGCTGTCTTTGAATTCCTTGCTTTCTGAGTCCCCACAAGTCTTTTTATGCACACTGAGATCTAACACAGACTCCCACTGGACCGGAGGCCTGCCGGTGCCCTCAGTCTTCTGTTTGACACCGCTGGACAAATCCAGTGGCTGCTGGTTGCACACAGGGCTAAAAGTGGAACTGGCGGCCCACTCTTTGGATACCTTGAATTCATCAAAGCATGGCGGGCTCACGGTTTCCCTCTCGTCTCTCCCAGACAAACTCCACACCGGGGAGGAGTTGCTATGACTTTCTAACTTGGGCTTTTTGGAACCCAGAACTGCATCAGTCCACACTGCTTTCCCATCGCTTTGCTTTCCGAAGTCTCGAAGGGCAGGACTGTGCTGTGGAGAGCTGGGAGGGGAGCTGGTCCGCCGCTTAAACCTACTGGAGGTCACGGGCAGCATCGATGCAGGAGCGGACACACAGACAGGACCTAACTTAGTGATCTCAGCTGCCAAAATCCCTGCAGGAGGAGTCAGTTTATCCTGGGTCTGAAGGAGCTGCTTGAGCTTTGACGACAAGTACACGCCTTTCTCTTTGTGGAGAGACACCGCCTCCGTGGTGGAGATGCTAAGGGGCAGGCTCAAGGAGCACGAGGGTGCTATGGGCTCAGGCTCTGCTTCAGCTTTGATTCTGGGTAACACGGGCGGACTAGCAGTTCTCCGTCTCTTGGACTCACTGTTTGTGCTGCTGGAAGGCTCTTTAGGAAGATTATCTGCTATGGGGATCTGTGTGGTCTTTATATTCTGAGTAATTTCCACTGTAACTGGAGTGAGCAGACAGTTTATACCAAACAAGTCAGCCGAACTGGACTCCATCTCAATCACATCACAGTTACTGGTGCTGCTGCTGGTTTGAATTTTACCATCAATATAGTAATTTAAGTTCTCAGAGATATTGCTAGAAATGTCCATGATGTACACGTCATCTGCCTCCCCTTCCTCCTCGGGTTCAGTGCTGGGAACGTAGACATTCTGGGGGGGCTGGGCCCGTTCTGCGGGCGGCTGGGGCTCTTCCAGAAGGCCTCCTTTTCTCCGCACACCTTTGGGAATCAGGTGACGTTCATGAACTCTGCGCTGGTGCCGTCTCATATTAGTATGAGTGCCAAAAACCTTCTTACAGTATTTGCATGGATGAAGCTCTTTAACTTCTCCATTCTCTTCTACAACAGAAGAATTTACTGTTTCTTGGGAAGCTTTCTCTGAACTCAAGATCAGACAGTTTTGCCCAAGATTGGGAGGAATCGAGTCATCTTTTGGAGTGACACTGTCTCCAGATTCTTTGCCATCAGCTAGGTCCTCTGATGGCTGTAGTGTTAGGCCGGCTTTTCGCTTTAACCCTGCCTCATGGCGACGCTCATGCCTCCGCCTGTTAATTTGGGTGCCGAATGCTTTCCCACAGTACTTGCATTTGAAAGCATGGTTGACTGTAGATATATGGATGTGCATGTGCCGTTCCAGCCCCTGTTTGGTTGTAAACTTCCTTTCACAATGCTGACATGGAAACATTAATGTTTCAAATACATCACCATTGGCTTCTTCCTTAGTTTTGGGAATTTTGATAACAGGAGTTACCTCTGGAGAGTCTTCGAGAGTTTCTTTTGAAATGTTTTTTGGTTCTTCTAATAAATCTTCTAGCTTCTCATCACACCGTATTTCCGGCTCTTTCACAGAACTTTCATTTGGCATGTCAGCTTCTTCTTCCCCCTCTTCTTCCAAGCCATCGTCTTCCTCCTCTTCCTCCTCCTCCTCTTCCTCCAAGTCATTCACCTCACAATTTGTTGCTTCTAGCTTCTTGTCTGGTTCTGTGTGTAGCTCGCAGGCAGGGAGAGGGGTTCCTAGTTCTGGAAGCACATCCTGATTAACCACCTCCTGAACAGCTGTCTGCTCAGCTGCTGGAGCTGACGGCTTCTCGTCCTCTTCTTTGGCACCTGAAAGCAGAGGGAAGTAGAAGCATGGAAGTGAGGGCAAAACTAGCCGATTTAAGATCAATTCTTATTATTCAAGTTATTTCTCTTAGTACTTAAAATGTGTAAGGAAGGTTATGATTAACAACAGCTCCACATTCTCATTTATAAAGTTGTATTGTACTTAAATCCATTTCTTTCTTTCTTTCATTCATTCAGCTAGTATTTACAGAGCACCTGGCATTAACCAGGCAATACACTGGGCAGTGAGGAGACATACGTGAACAAAGAGTCACTTGGAGCTTAGATTCTTTTCTGCGTTTAATTACACATATATAAATATTTTTATGTATAGAAATTGTGGTGCCTAAAATTTTGTTGAAGTAGCAGGCACTGAATTTCAGGAGACTAGTTGTGAATTCCAATTTCTCAGGATTCCAAACTGAAATAAGCTAAATATATTACCTACCAGGTTAGATTCTTAGTGGTCTTCCTTGAATGGAATGATTCTCTCCTCCCTTCCTGACTAAATCTACATTTTTAGAAGCTAGAAGAGTTTCCAGAATCATATGATCAGGATTTTTTCAAGTGAAAGTAACTTTAGAGATCATCTCTTCTAAGCCTGTAATTATTAGCAACTCAGGAGTCTCAATGCCCAAGAAGAAACCCAGGTGGGCAGGGAAGGACTCACTGGTAAGGTGACAGTTGAGCAGAGACCTAAAAAAAGTGAATATGCAGGGGAGGGGAACCCTCTGGATAGAGTAAACAGCAGATACTAAAGTTCTGAGTCAAGAACTTGCTGGATGTGTTCAAGGAATAGCAAGGAATCTGGAAAGACTGTGGGGTGGGGGGGACTGGAGGAAGGCAGGAGAGCAGAAGATGAGATCAGAGGCCAACTCGCACAGGACCTTGCAGGCTACTGGCCTTTACACGGAGTGAAACAGGGAGCTGAAGTTCTAACAGAAATATGATATAACTACTCATATTCAAGAGAATCACTCCTGGTACAAGGAAGATAGGAAGTTCCAGGAGGCTAAGGGTGGAGGCAGGGAGCCAAGGGCTGCATCCTGCAGGAGAAGGGACAGGATGAGGGCTAGGGTGGCAGGGGAGGTGGTGGGAATGATCTGACTCTGGATACATTTTGGAGGTAAACTAACAAGATGTGCTTGCTGACTAGCTGTGGTGAGAGAGATGTCAAGGAGCCACAGCAACCGCAATAATTCTGTTTGCTAAGCAGTAGGAAACTGAGGGAAGAGCAGGTGTGGGCTATGTGTGTGTGTGCTGGAGGAAAGTAGAGTTCATTCTGATGTATTAAAACTTTGAGGTTCCTGACAGCTATCCACGTAAAGATGTTAAGCAGTTATGGATGACTCGAGTTCAACAGAGGCCGAGTCTAGAAATGTATAAGTCCTTTTCACAAAATAGTATTTGGAGCATGGGACTGGACGAGGTCACCTGGAGAGTGAATGCAGACAGAAGAGAGGAGGGAAGACTGCCCCCAGATGACTCCAGTACTTAGAGGTCAGAGAAATGACCAGTGAGGTAGTTGGAGAATCAAGAGAGTGGTGGCTTTAGGCTAAATAAACAAAGGTTCAAGGAGGGAGTGATCAGCTGTGTGCAGAACTGTTGAGGGGTTGGGTAAGATAAGGACTGAGAATGGAGCATTCCCTTTACCAAGGTGGACGTGTGGTGATCATGGTAACAGTTTTAGTGGAGTAGTGGGGACAAATGCCTAACAGAGTTCCTAAAAGAAGGTAAGGAGGGAGAGACAGGGAGACTATAAGCAACTCTTTCAAGTTTAGCTATAAAAAAAAGCAGAGAAATGGAACAGCGGTTGGGAGAAAACCCAGGGAGAGCAGGGGACTCCCAGACAGGAGCTGTCACAGTGCATCTACTGCTGACAGAGAATGTCCCTTCTCCACAGTACCACTGTCTGTTGAACTAGGCCCCTTGCACTGTATACACTTGAGGAGTTAGAAAAGCTCTGGGACCTCCTGGCTTGTTAACTGGATCGTCCCCTCTTTCGCTGGGTAGGTATTTACTGTATGCCAGTACTAGGCGAACAACAATGTCAAGACCCTTATCCTTATAGAGCTACAGGAAAGCAAGCAGGCAACACCACTGTCATAAATCAGTGGTTATGCCTGTGGAAGCACGTGCTGCTACAGAAGCTCACAAGAGGAACACTGTATGTGGCTTAATCAGGGGAGGCTTCCTACTAGATAAAGTCCTGGGCAGGCTGAACGTGAAGGTCAAGGAGAGAAAAGGAAAGGCAGCATGAGGAATCAAAACATGTAGCACACTGTGAATTATTCTGGACTCACCGGCGGGCAATGGGGAACCATTAAGATATTTTAAAGCAGGAGGATGCCAGGTGGGAGATATTGGCTGTGATGTGGATTAAGGGACAGGGAAGACACATTACTGCAGGCAACCAATACTGGTGCAGTGGTATCAGAAGGGAGATACTGCGGCCTACATTAAGAGATGTCGCAGTGGAGGCAGAAAACAGTGGCCAGACTGTCAAGATAGAAGAGCCTGTCACGGACCTGGTGAATGCCTGGATACAGGGGAAGTGGGGGCTAAAAAGGCCCACTGTGCCAAGCTCTCTAAATGCAAGGTTTCCTAGGAGTATCAGTCTTACTTTTACCCATGTGCCACCATTTTACTGGCAGCGAGGCTTCTGCTTCTAAACAAAACAGAAACCAGTCTTCCCACCCCACCCCCCGACAAATTTCATAAATTCCATGAGTTTTCCATAAACTGAGAAACCAGTCATTTGATGGTGGTAATGTATTTCAAATTAGGAGCTAACTCCTAACTACATGTTCAACACAGACCCAACATGTTGCTAAAAAAAGTTGGAATGAGACTACAGAAATTGAAAATAACATCTGTAAGGCACAAAAATTTCTTTAAGGAGTTCTTTTTGGGCCAAAATCTGTGGCATCTTTTAATGGGAAAAAAATATATAAATGTATTATTTTCTTTCTCTGTGACTGGTAAACAATTTCAGATTTGAAACTGTCCAAAGCAATATAAACCAAAACACAGCTCTGCTCACTAGTAAGGCTCACACCAAAGTGGGTCCATGCGGTCACTGAGTTTTAAACATAATGGGAGGTTTGGGGAGCAAAGGAAGAGTTTGGACTGCTTGCTCAGACCACTTTTTTAAGAATACGCAGAACATTCAGGAATGACAACTACCCTGTACAGAGCCAATCACACTTTAACCAGTTATTCCACAAAAAGGTAAATATTATCTTTTTTCACAGGGCCCTATGTTGTATCAAGAAAAAAATAACTATCTTGAATTTTCAAAGGGGAAAAGGGGCTCCTGGATTTTTGTTTTTAATTCTGCCACTAAACGTAGGGAGGGTCCTTAGTATTTTTTGTTGTTCAAACAAATGTCTTAGCAAATCTGCTATCAGCGGGCAGAACTTAGTTTTATAAGGTTCTGGGAAATAAACTTGTCGATTCTTGCTTCATAAAATGCCACAGGAAATTACAATCCTTTATGAACGTCATCACCACCAAAATGGCTTAAGAAGAATAAAAATTATTGTTAGTGAGTTTTTTTCTCTACAAATGTTTCTTGAAAGTCACAAGCCTACATTTTGAAATTTGCCTATTTGGGTCACTATGAACAACTCTTGAGCAAGCTCCGGTCTTTGCATAAATTGACCACATAACAAATTAGGACATAGCGCCCTCTTTTCTAATAGCAATAGTCTCAATATGGTGGCTCAACTGAGCAATCTGCCTTTCTGATTAACTGTCAATCCATGTCTCTGAATTCTTACAGCACGGAGGGCCTAGAATAATAGTCCTCAGAAGAGACCATAGACAATTTAGTGGGAAGAAGCACGAGATAAAATAGGAATTAAAATTCAACAAAGGAACACTTTTCAATCGGCACATTTTTCATTCTGATATATAAAATCAAGGGTATTTAATATTTTAAGTAATTTTTTAACTGAACTACAAAACATACTTAAAGTATGCAAAACATAAGTATAGAGCAAGATAAAGTGTTTACAAGTAAGTACACCAATGTGCCCACCCCACCCATCAGTGGACTCCCCCCAGTCTGCCCCTATCAGTCTGACTCCTATCATCATGGATGTTTTTTGATGGTTTTGAACTTTGTAAATTATTTATAAATGCAATCATATAGAATGCTTCATTTTATTTTAACCAAGCATAATTTCATTTCTAACAAGGAAGGTCTTTAGTACATTTTTGAAGGGGATGGGGACTGTGAAGGGCTTGTAGGGGACTTTCTTGCTGTTTAACCTTTTCTTAAATGACTCTCAGACAGGCATGCCGAAGAAATACAAAATTATAAATGGTGATACACACCCAAATCATACAAGCCCAACACCCCAGCCTACCTTCTGCAGAATCTCTCATATTGGCAGAGGTGGGATCTGGCTCGCTTGTCTTCAGCTGTATGTCTTCAGTTTTGTTTCCTTTGTTTTTATTTTCCTGGGGTTTTTTCTTCCCTGAAACAAATAAACCATTTATTTATTTATTTGTTCGTCCGTTCATTCATTCATTCGTTCACTATTACCCCAAATTCTTGAAGGAGACAATCACTAATATAATCAGAGTAAACTGTCTATTTCTGGGAAATTATCACTTCAATCCCTAAAGAAAGGAGTGGATGATGAATACAAATACTTTTAAGTCACGTCAGAGAAAAAAACCCATAAATCATGTATTTTTTAGAATCTTGGGCACTAGTTCCCTCATAACTCTAAGCAACTATCAAACCAATAAATAATATATTCTAGAAAAGTTAACAATACTGATGTCACAGAAAAATTAGATGATTGCTCTCAGTTTTAATACCATACACATAAGAGGGACTGGCAGAAATCTGGTTATTTCTAAGAAGCATGTAGGAAAAGCAACACGGGATAACTAGGGGCCCTTTTAGTTAAGATATGAGCATCTATAATTGTCAAAGTAAAACAACAGCAGCAGAGATCCCACTGAATTGTCAGGAATACACATGCACAATGGCTCAAATAGCAAAGCAGAGTAATTATGAATAATTCACTGTGGCCGGCCGGCACAGCACTCTGAGGGTCCTGAGGGACGCAAGTCGAGGTCCAGAACAGTTCAATATTTCATTAACGATTTGGAAGCTGGAATTCAGGAAACACTAACTGAATTCCAAGTGATACCACAGTTCAGAAGATAAGAGGAACATGCAGCACATTTCTGACAAGCTGGAGCAGGGAACGCAAGTCGCCAAGATTCTTAGTAAAGATAAACAATGCTGGACTGGTTACTACTACTGAAGGCTCAACGTTTGGTCTCATTAGGATTTAACCAGAATTTGCAACCCCTCTTTGCCATTTTTTAAATTCCAAGTTTCTTATGCCTGGTAGCTTTTTTTTTCCTTCAGTTTTCAGATTCAGAACAGGTCCTATCACCTTTCCCGAACAGTTCCCTTCTCTTTCTGCAACGCTCTCCTCAGCCAGGCTTCATATAGCCTCCTGAGCTTTCTCTTTTGCAACCAACAGCTGCCTTGATCTCCAATTCAGTAAAATGACAAACTAGAAAACATTGGCAGTTTCTGGAAAATGGTATTCTCCATAACCAAGAATCGCTACAGAGCAGCATAATTAATTAAAATGTAGGTAACAGATGAAACTTAAGATCAGAGACACAAAATATTATCACTGCAAAGATCATAATTAAAAATAGAAACATTTGTAAACAATACAAACCAGGTATTAATCCTAAAAAACATCAGCGGATTTTGAGAAATATTTAAGAGATTCAACAAGAAAAAATGAATAAAATACTTAATCAGCCATTCAATGTTGGTCATAAAAAGAAAATTCTAAAACACCATTTTGAATCCCTAATTCTTCAGTAAGAAAACAAAAGTTCTCTGCAACTGCATAAGAAAGAGTTCACTCAAACACATATCTGAAAACAAGGCAATCCATTCGTTTCCACAGGCAGCTAAAATGGACCTCAGAATTCACTGGAACCACGTCCTGGTGGGCCCAGAAGCAGACTCTTCATGGAGCAGGTAGATTCACGTCTCCGGGTGGAAGGATTATAAACCCATGCCCTCTGCAAGGGGCAAGGCCATGAAAACATGTGACACGGCCACAAGTCACCTCCTCTTTCAAGTCTTTCTCCCTCAGTCAACAGCACTGGCGTAAATCTGATAATGACAAAGGCTCCTGAGGAATCCAGTTGTGCTTTAGGGAGTTTGGATTCTAACCTTTCAACCAGTTTTCTTATCCTCACGATGACATATGCCCAGTCCATCTCAGATTACTGGTAGCAAACAATGCAAATACCAGTGACTGGCTACTAACAGGAGCTGCTCCAGTTCTGCAGGTCATGCCTCATAAGACTCACGTCAGGGCTCCTGCTGCCCTCAGACATTTCATTCGAAAGTTATATTCAGAAAAATTTTCCCTGGATCAAAACCACAAATTTGTTGTAAGATATCAGTACCACCTCATGTACTCCCAACAGGCCAAGAAATATGACCTTTCTTACTGAATTCTTACTTGCTACTACTTTCTACAGGTATGAGCTTTCAAAATACGTAAGTACAGAAGTATGGTCTAAAGCTTCCCTCTTATGCCTAGCCTTACTCTCACACTGTAAAATTTAACAGAAATACAGACATTAATTTATTGTACTACAGTCCCTTGCAAAACCAATTCAAAGATTTTCTGCAACTTCTCAAGCACTATAGAGGCTAGTTAGCAGGCTATATAAAAGTAAATTGCCCTATGTGAACAAAGTACTAAGTGAGATTTCTAGATTTATGTTATAATAAAGCAAAGTACAACTTTAATAATACCATCCATTAATATGTATTCAGAACAAGATCACATAACTATCTAAAAGCTAAAAATATTATTTGAAGTTTTATTCTCTGCCTAAGGAAGTATGAGAACACCTAGCTGATACTGAATGTCAAATGCCTATTTTTGGACTCTCCAAACCTAACCAGTGAGAAATATCCCTCCTGCTCCCAGGTGCCCTCTTTCAAACCCATAACCAGGAAAGCCTGATGCCCTGTGAAGAGAAGCCACTCTCAGTAGGAACATCTGCATCCTATTCAGAGGGCTCCCAAGAGCATCCCACCACAGGCTACTGGAGGCTGGATAGCAGTGGTTCAACTGTAGCTCAAGTGACACTTGGACCAGATTGCGCTCTGCTGTGGGGCTGTCCAAGGCATCGGAGGACATTTAGCAGCATCACTGACTCCCACTCACTAGATGCCAGTGTCACCTTCTAGTGTGACAACCAAAAGTCTCCAGACTTGGCCAAATGTCCCTGAAAGGGGGGGGGGGGTGTTCCCCAGGTTAAGAACCACTGGGCTAAACCAATATAATATGGGTTACTAAAGATAGGCGAGGTTCTGCAGTTTATACGTTTATTATAAAATTTAAAGGAACTATCTGAATAACACTAATAAACCAATTCTAAAAAAGGAATGGAACAATTAAATTTACCTCCCACATTCCTTTCAGTGAACAAAGGTAGACTTAGTTTATGACAGACATGCAACTATCATAACTCTAATTATCATTCTTTCATGGCCCTGAGATTATTTGGTACCGGAAATGTTCATCGGAACATCTAACACTCGAGCTACTTCCCATCAGGACCACAGACTAGGGTGAAGGAGCTACTGAAATCCCCTGGCCTACCTGTTTTTTTGCAAGAGAAACCAGACATCAGGGGCCCCAAAGAGACTACTCAGTCTCTGACAGAACAGAAATTAGAACATGGGAATCCTGATTCACACGAAGGTATGCTTGGTGTCACTCACCACGCCAAATACTGCAATTACAGGTATGGAAACTGCTCCATTTCCTTAAATCAGTATATTTTTTCTGGATACTTGGTTTCTGTTCTTTACGTAATCAAATTAAAGTTAAAAAAAATCTACAATCAAAAATAACCTGGATGAGGACTCTGACAAAGGGGAGAGGGGACTAGCTGGTTTCTACTGTGAGAGCTGGTGTGGCAGAGCCCACTGGGAGCCTGGTAAGTACACGTGTGCACTTACCATCAGGTTCCTGAAGGGTCCTACACAGAGGCTACTGCCAGCTGCGTGCTCCACTTGCTCTAAACAAGAAAGATATAGGAATGAAACACAAGGAAAGTGAAATGGAAACAATGACAAAGAACATAATGAAGCACAGGACAAAACTGTATGCTTATATATAAGGAAAGGAAATATACACACAAAGATGAAGAAAACGAAATGAAACAGAAAGAAAACAGCAGTTGTCTACTGCAAGGTCTCACCAAAAAATAAAAATAACCTTTGTGTTCTTAGTTAGGGATGGGATGTGGTATACTTACTCTCAGGCCTGTGCCGTGCCCACAGTGTAAAACTGATATTCTTACCACTTAAGCACCACTCGGCTATTTAAGACCAGAAAGTCCCAATCCATGCCTCTCATTTCAGAGACACCCAAGGACCAGAGACGTGAAGTCATCTGCCCCAGGCCACACGACTAAATTAGCTCTAGAGTCAGAATTAAAACCCAAGAATGATGCTGCTGCTAAAAGTGCTCCTTCTAGTACATTTATTTCTTAGGACCAAAAATGGCATAATAAGGATACCTTATTGTTTAGAAAGCACTTTATAACCCTTACTCATTCAGTTTCAAGGGCAAATGAAAGGGTTATAAAGACTTCTACTGCATTTATAAGAAAGGAACAAAGTGGAATGTGGATTTTTTTCCATTTCAATTTTATCTTATGCCAGAAACAAGTATCGGTCAACAGCACAGAACACCAATCTGAGCAAATATGATTAACCATTAAATAATATCAATAGAACTGGATTTTCTAGTGAAATAGCTGCCCTGGGGGGAAACCCAGCAGCCACGGTGGGGGCTTTTAAGGACAAGGGAAGCATGTGCTGCTGGCGCTTGGATGCGAGGTGCAAAACCAAAACTGCCTCCAGTGCCACATGCGTAAGTTCTGGACTACGCTGCACTCTCCCAATAAAGTGAACTAACACTAGGAAATTCTAGAGAATAATGTTTCACTTTAAAAATGTTCAGGCATCAGAGAGAATGCAAAATTCTAGAAGGATGGCATAAGGTACATTAAAAATTATTACAACAGTGAAGGCTCCCGCATTCGGTGATTTAAAGGAACTACACGTAGAACCATATGTAATTCCACATGCGCTGCCTCCTCACTGGGGAACTACTCAACTACGAAGTATGAAATCAGAGTTCAGTATCAGCAGGTCTGTCTGATCTTGGGGGAGCCCCCATCTTACTCGGATGCACAGCTGACTGCCAAACCGGGAGAAACCGCATCGGTGAGAGCCATGAAAGGTCATGGAAATGCATGGGCTGCCTGAACAGGGGCCAACAACTCTCCAAAGGGTGGGTGGTGCATGTGCCCTCGATCCCCACCACGCCATCTAGCCCGTGATCCCTGCACTGGACTCTCCACTCCCCACAGTTACCTCTGCTCTCATCATTAC